GTGTATGCTTATTACAAAATATTCTTTAAATTGGTAATTTTATAGGATAATTAAATGTAAATAAAAGTATAAATGATAAAGAATGAGCACTACATACCGAACACTAAACACTTAAGGATTGAGTTCAACATACTGAACGCTGTATACACATAAATAATGATTACATCATACTGAACATTGTACACACATAAAGAGGGTTTATACCATACTGAACGTTATACAGATGTAAATAATGCATGCAACTTACTGAACACTATACCTGTAAAAAATACGTACACTTTACTGAACATTGTACACACGTAAAGAATGAATATAACATAGTGAGTATTAAACACAAGAATGCGAACAACATTCTGGAGTACCTTTATTTAAAAAATTCCCTACTCTACTTTTGCTGAACTAAACTGTCCCAACCCTAACTGGAGGAAACGGTCCAGTGTGGACTGTGTTAATTATTATCTTTTATCCTTAACACCATTTAAAAAAAACACACATTTTTATTGAATTTGTTGTTAACCCTGTTTTTGTTATACGTACGTAGCTGAATAATACGCCTTGGAAAGCCATATTTACTTCAATGCCAGTATTTGCAATCATAGTAGCCAACTTTGCTAGGAGCTGGAGTTTCTACTTACTACTTATCTCTCAGCCAATGTACTTTAAGGAAGTCTTCCACTTTGACCTAGACAAGGTTAGTAGCTCACCTGGTTTGACCTTTACTGTTACGTCCTTCAGGAGGTCTTCCACTTAAATATAGATAAGGTAAGTAGCCAGATCTGGTTTGATCTTTATTTTAACGTTATTCAGGAGGTCCTCCATTTTAACATAGACAAGGTTAGTAGCTGCTTTTGGTTTGACGTTCTTATAGAGTAATTCTGTAAAGCTCCAGTACCAAACAGAGTTGACTAGTCTTGTGCGTGAGTAATTTGTTTAACACCTAGATTATGCTGTATTACGTTAAAAGCTATTGGATAGATCGAAGTACTAATAGATATGTATAGAACTTGTAGAAAATCACTTTCCATTCGAAGAAACTTAGAAACATTTCCGTTATTTTAATATACTATTTTAATGTCAGGATACTCCCAAATTAGTAGGTGATAAAAAGTACGATTCTGTAATAGTAGCATTTAATTTTCCAAGTAAATATATATAGAGAAAGTTTATTCCAATCCAGATCAGGCACGTGTTGACATTACAGACGTCTTGTAAAAACTGTTTGTCAGTATTAGGACTTTGAAGAATTTATTCTTATATCTTAATCTGAAACATTATAAGTGAGCACCTATGAGCTTAATTTGTCAGTTTTGTTAACCTGGATAAAATGTTCTGTTCTTCATTTTAGAACAGTAAGACCATTTTCTCATCAACTGATGACGAGACTTAAACTATCGGCTTTGGTAATTTAGATAAAATGTTCTGTTCTTCAGTCTGTGATATTAGAACCACTATCTAGCCCACTAATAACCGTACTGATTTACTTGTTTTTTGATCTAGATAAGCTATTGTATTTTGATTTTTACATTCAAACACTAAAACCACTTCTTTCACTAATGGTAACGATAGCATTATTTAAACTGTCAATCTTGTTAATCTGTAGATAAATTATTTTGCTTTTTTAGCCTGAAAAGTTATGACTACTTCCTAGTCTACCGGTAACCATATGAGTTTTGTTGCTCTAGATAGGCTGTTCTGGTTTGTTTTTGTTTTTCACTAGAACCACCTCTTCAACAATTTTTGGCCATAAATGTTCTTAAAATTATCAATTTTTTTAATCTAGTTAAGCTCCTCTGTCGTTGTTTTTAGTCTGGAATACTAGGAGCTCTTCCTCACTTACTGATGACGATAATAGTTCCAATTGGAGGTCATCTTGCTGATTATCTTCGCCGAAAAGAATACTTGACCACAACTTCTGTGCGGAAAGTTTTTAACTGTGGAGGTACGTGAGCTGCCTAAAATTTGATAAAACTATATCAGATATATCTAAATTATGTATACCTTTTTTATTACTTCAAACGTGAACTAATAGTAAAGCTTGTTTATACTGAGCTCTTATAGACGAAGAAAAAAAAAATTCGCAGCAAATTTAATTTTTGTTTTTCATACGTGTTGTTAGAAGTTGATTTCGTTATTATTTATTGTCTAATATCCTGAATCTTATTAAGAACAGTAACAAAATAAACTTAATTACTTTATTACTTGCTACTTCAAAATTTTGTTTCATTTTCTAAAATGTTGCATTTTCAAACTTAGCAGAAATAAAAAAAAATCATTATTTTCATGTTTTAACATATTTACCTTAAATCCATTAAAGTTATAGAACATTCATTTTGTCATAAAATTGTATGGTAAAATGTGGATCATACAGTGACAATTTTTTCTTTCAATAGCATAAACACAAACATTGTTTATGCACGTTTAATTGTTTAGCTCCAACATCACCATGGTACCATGCATGTAACGCCATGTTATTTTGTTGTGTATTTAAAAACAAACTTGAAACTGAAAGCGTTGATTATCTATAAGTGTGATAGGGAATATACAAAGGATGGGTATGTTACATTAAACAATTTTGGAGTCTTACCACTGTGTTGCAGATCATTTTGCCAAATCTGCCGATCATGTACTGCCAAACGACTATTAATTTTAAAAGAGCTCCGTCGTAAGGCTTTCGTGTTCAAAGCACAACATTCTTCCCTGCTGTTTTTGATAATGCATCTCAAGTAGGAGGATTGCGATTTCTCATCACCTGTTTCAACAGTCCGAGTGCACGGAAATCCATAAGCGACTTCACCGTTGTGTAATCATATGGACTAGCATGAGCACCAGTTTACTTCTCCATCTGCTTGAAGTATGAACAGCTTGTGTACATTGGCTTCTGTTGCTTTTTCAGATGGAGATCCTTCTTGATTATGCTGTATTCCGTTGCCTGGGACACATGGACAGCATTTGCCAATGACTTTTGTGTTCGTGGGTTCTGACCTATTACAAGATGATGCACTTTGCTTACCAAGGCTTGGGTATGACTTGTTGCAGGTCTCTTTCTGAATGGTTATGAGTTCCCAGTTGACCCATATTCCTTTGTTTTCCAATGGAATTAGATATAAAGGATATGCTCGATTCTAACATATGTTTATGATCTGATTGTATGAAAACGGAAAAGTTGTTACATACTACCCTACCCAAAAAGAAATCAAATTTTGATCTCATCACACTACCTACGAAATGCCAATCTATGTCAAAACGTACTTCTGATACATGCAGTTCCACCAAAACATCGGCTGGGATTGTCACGTGACTTAATGATTTGCATCATCAAAATTGTTTTAATATAAGATACTCAATCCTGCAAATCATGTACTATCTATTGCATTTCCCGCTTAACTAATAATTGTTTTTTACAGGCTTTGGCTTGGAAGCATTGTTTCTTCTAGTCGTAGGGTATACTCGAAACACTACACTAGCTATCACAGCGCTCACAGTGGCTGTGGGATTCAGTGGGTTTGCCATATCTGGTAAGTATACAGATAAGTAATAATCACGGTAGCAGTAAGATTCAACATATCCAGTAAGTAGACCAACTTAGTATTAGTCATCTCAGCAGCAGAATTAATCAAATTCAACATATCCAGTAAGTTGGCCAACTTAGTATTAGTCAGCTCAGCAGCAGAATTAATCAAATTCAACATATCCAGTAAGTTGGTCAACTTAGTATTAGTCATCTCAGCAGCAGAATTCATCAAATTCAACACATCCAGTAAGTTGGTCAACTTAGTATTAGTCAGCTCAGCAGCAGAATTCATCAAATTCAACACATCCAGTAAGTTGGTCAACTTAGTATTAGTCATCTCAGCAGCAGAATTCATCAAATTCAACATATCCAGCAAGTTGGCCAACTTAGTATTAGCTATCTCAGCAGTAAGATTCAACATATCCAGTAAGTATCCGACTTATATATTAGTCATAATAGTAATCCTATTCAGTAGGTTTGCTATATCCGGTAAGAAATGTTTGTTTGTTTGTTGTTGTTAAGTACAAAGCTACAGAATGGGCTATTTGTGGTGTGCCAACCAAGAGGAACTAAACCCGGTTTGTAGCGTTATTAACCTACAAACTTACCGTTGTGTCACTGGGAGGCTCCGGTAAGAAGGCAGACTTAGTATTAGTCATAATAGCAGTACGATTCAGTGGGTTTGCTATATCTAGTGAGTAGGCCAACTTAGAATTAGTCATAGTAACAGCAGAATTCAGTGAATGAGCTATATACGGTAAGTAAACTACAATCTGGGCGTAAAGCTGTAATAAATTTCTGACAGGTAAACTTTGTTTGAATTTATGCACAAACTACACAATGGGCTATCT